TAAACATAGGGAAAGGATCAACCCTTGGAACATTGTACATACTATAGGGCTTTGGTGTAGAAGATCTAGGGACACCTTCTTCATCCTCTAGTTTGACATGAGAATGTGTTAGATTTTCATACTCTTCCTGTGTTAAGATCTTGTATTTTGTATTTTGTTTTAAAAACTGAACCATGGTTTTGATGTCAGCTTGTGTGACTGCTTGATCTTCTTGCTCCTCTTGTTCTTCTTTAAGATGTTTGTCAGTTTCTTTCTCGGGATTCTTTGCAGCCATTTTCGACTGAAGAAAATAAGTACTCACACACTAATGTTCTATAATCCTACAATGTCTATCAACAAAAAAAAATCACACAAAGAAATCGCACGGTAAAAAAAATCGCACGCGCAAAACTGCACGAGATGCACTATATCTATGTGCACTTACATATGCATTAAAATAAATAAGCGGAAAGGTTGTACGGAAATATACTTTGTATCAAAGTAACCAAAAGGATACTTTATGAAATGCAGAGTTACTGACCCTTTGATAACTGATGAGATTGACTCACCTAATTATTGGTAAGGTCAATAACATGGAGATTGACTTTTCTTAATTGATGAGATTAACACACCTAATTAATACCGAGTCAATATGGATTGTACTTTAGACATATATACCACAAGTAAAGTTGCAAGTTTTACACAAATTAAACTTGACAAACGGAAAATCTCAATCAGAAATTCAAAAACGCCTGACCACGTCTACAACATGTATGTATACAGACGCTCACTGTATATGGAAATAAATTACATGTTCATTTTAATGATAACATTCCTTTTGAACATCTTATAAAATTTCCTTAATGATGGCTAAACTTAAAATATTGCCAGGGTGAATTCCATCATAATTCAGCGTTAAATTCACTGAGTGTCTAGCAGCTTTGCCCTTAGCTTTCCTACTTCTGAAATAAAATTTACTATTATGAATTTACAAATTATGAAATTATTTTTTTTAGTTTAAACTAGTTTAAATTACTGAGTATTTATAAATGGGATTTTTAAATTCAAAAACTGGTTTTACTTAAATCTTTTGGTCTAGTTTTACCAAAAATCAAATTTAATAAATTTTACTAGGTCAAAGGTCACTCAAGATCACTGATAGGTCAAATAGTCAAGGAGGAGAAAGTTAGGAATTAGTGATCTTATGTATTTAGTAGTACTTCATTCTCTCTGTTCTTTCTCACAGGCTTTTCTAATAATTCAATTGAAAGCAAAAAAAAAAAATGATATGAAAATACTTAATTCACACAAATACAAAATAAAGGAGTGTGAAAAAAATAATCTTTGAAAAGAAAGAAAAAAATACTCTCTGGTATTTGCAAACAATATCAATTAAAGCATGCTCAGTGAATTCTATAAAACAAAATAAAATGTGCACATATAACTAAATACTTGCATATATGGCAAACTATAATTTTGTAGAAATGTTCAGTCCAATGAATGTTCTTTCTCCTATGATGTCCCAGAGTTCACAGTTGAATTTGAACCAGTCCATTTTTGAACACCAGATCCCACCGTGGATGCCATTTTTGTAACAGGGGTCGTTGATAGACAATAACACCTGCGGGTTCGTTTACATGGTTTATTCAGGGAGTCATCATGTTATCAAATTATAGCCCTGAAAATACAATACATATTCAATCATGATATAACAATAGTATTTCACATTATAACAAATCATAAAACATCAATACATGTACATAGCATTTGTGGAATTCACAAGTTATTCCCCTTGAATCAGACTTTTATAAAATACCATGAAATACATGTAAAGCTGATATTAAACGTTCATATAGAAAATAGATTCTTTATGTTGACAATACAATAAATGGAAATTATTATTAAATATCACATTTACAATTCTCACAATAAAATAATAAACCTGTATTGCAAAAATATATAAATTGGTACCTATTTGTGGAACAAAGCTTGACTCCTATATCTTCTTAAATGTGCAGCAGAGTATAAAGAATGAATAAATAAATCTGGACTCTGCAATATAAATTTTATCTCTCACTCCAAAAATCTCTCATTCAGTTTATTAATTTCAGAAATCAGAAATTATGAATATGAAAGTATTTGATATTAAGTTATGTATTTTAAAAAGTAAATAATGATACTTACAGTTTCTTTGAAACAGTCAGTCAGATTTCATTAAATTAAGAATAATTCATATTGGCATGTAGACTCATGCATTGTCAGCTGAAAAGTGTCTTTGTCTGAATGTTAGGAATTTGGAGGTAAATTTAAGACCAATGAAATTGTAGTAAGATGAAAACTACTCATGATCATGTACCCTTACACAGGTGTACTAGAAGTAACATGGGTGGATCCAAAGTTTTACTAATTGTTTATTTTATTTTATTTAGGTTGTTTTATTTCGGAATTTAAAAGTATTTTATTTAATTAATTATATAAGTGAAAGGTTCCAATATTTGAGTTTAAATTATTTATTTTGGTCAATGTTGATTGACACATAGATTTAATTCACTTTAGAGTTTAAAATCAGTTGGGACTTATTCATAAATGTATAATTATTAAATTATACATTTGAATATCATAATATTTAAAATAGTATAAAACTATCACTATTACATATATATATATATATATATATATATATATATATATATATATATATATATATATATATATATATATATATATATATATATATATATATATATATATATATATATATATTAAAAAAAAAAAACACGACAACACAAGTTGTAAAACGTTAGCGCTTTCATATAAGGATTTCAAATTCTTCAGACGTTTTACTTTAAACATTTGATGGAGGACACATGTTTAAAGTAAAACGTCTGAAGAATTTGAAATGAAAGCGCTAACGTTTTACAACTTGTGTTGTCGTTTTTTTCTTTTTTTTAATATTCATTGCCGGACACTGTGACTGTTATATAATTTATTTTATTATATGATTGAATAATTTCCATCTCTCTGATTGGCTGAGATCCAACTATGTTAGAAAAATATTACGTTGTATTGACCTGCACGTGACGTTCCAGGTCAATACAAGGATTTATTTCCTCTACATTGATCTAAAAATAGATTTGGGAATTCCAAATTGATACAAATTGTTTTAAAAAGCTATTTAAACGAGAATGATATGTAATTTCATGTGAACAAAACATAAGCGAATATATTTTTTAGGTAAGGGTGGTAATTAAGAGGGTATGCAGGGACACCCCCCCCCCCCCTCCAACACTTACTGAACATTAATTTGTTTTTACTTTTTGGCAGTCAGTTTTTCCTGATAATACTTCTTCCTTTCAAAATCTATCCTATAAAAACACTGACAATATATATTTCTTTTATGTCTTCTAAAATTGATTTTATAAAAAAAAATCAAATTGATACGCCTGGTAAGGTTTATTAACGTTTTAATTCTGCTACTCTCTTGTATCTGGCTAGGACTTAAAATGCAAACAAGTAATGAGCTGTATCATTTTATCAGTTATCAGTGAATCATATAATAAAACAATTATTGCTGTTTTTTTCGGTCAATACAATGATTTAGCCATCTTCGAAGTACAATATTAATCTCGCCCTTCGGGCTTGGTGAATATTGTACTCCTCAGATGGCTAAATCATTGTATTAACCTCAAAAACCAGCAATAATTGTATAATATACACATTTTGGACATATATATAGCCCTTCGGGCTTGGTGAATATTGTACTCCTCAGATGGCTAAATCATTGTATTGACCTCAAAAACCAGCAATAATTGTATAATTGTATAATATACACATTTTGGACATATATATATATATATATATATATATATATATATATATATATATATATATATATATATATATATATATATATATTAATTTAAAAAAATTAAGTCTATATAATTAACCTAAAAAACACAATATGTACAATTTCTAATGGTATTCATTAATTCTATAAAGTTTGAAAAATATTCATTGTTTAAAGATTGAATTCATAGTATATTCAACATTTTGATTTTTACCAATGTTTCAAACCTTTAATTCAGTTTCTGATACATCTCGGTTCCAAATAGGTCCGTGTAACACTTAACAATTCAAATTTCTAAAACGATTTAGAGATTTAGAATGTTAATATATTAGTTCAAATATCTAACTTTCAAAAACTCACACTGATTTGGTATATTGAAATTTAATATATTATTTCAAAAATCTAAAATTTCAAATTTCCAAACAGGTTTTTCATTTTGAGATTTTAGATTTTTACCTTAAATATTTAAAATTCAAATTTCCACAAACAAATTTTCTATTTTAAACTTTTGAGTTTCTTATCTACCGTTTGTTTAGAAGTATTACGCTTAACAATCTAAAATTCTATAACATTTTCGTCTTTTGATTATTTAAAATTTACTTCAAACTTCCAACTTTCAAACGCTTTAGATTTTTAGAAATTTAGAATTTTGATTTAAAAACTCAATTTTTAAAAACACAAAACACGTTTGTAAATTTTGAGTTTTTAGAAGTTTAATTCAAATATCCAAAATATGAAATTCTATACCTGGTTTAAATTTTGGATATCTAAAGTAAAATTCCAAAAACTTAAAGTGTTTTAAGTTATTAGAAATTTGAACATTTGAATCAAAATTCCAAATTTCTAAAAATCTTAAACATTTCAAAGTAGGATTTTAGATGTTTGAAGCTAATTTCAAATAATCGAAAGACAAAAAATATTACCGAACTTTAGATTGTTAAGTGTAAATTTTCTGAACAAACGGTAGACTAAAAACTCAAACTATTTAATTCCATTAATCGTTTTTGGTAATTTGAATTTTGAAATTTTAAGGTAAAAATCTAAAATATTAAAATTCTAAAACCTATTTGGAAATTTGAAAATTTAGATTTTGAACTAAAATAGTAAATTTCAATATACCAAATCAGTTCAAGTTTTTGAATGTTAGATATTTGAACTAATATATTAACATTCTAAAACTCTAAATCGTTTTAGAAATTTGAATTGTTAAGTGTTACACGGACCCAAATATCAAATACACGACATAAAAAAAATTGTTTGTGAATTGCAATTCAAGTCTCACTATTCTTTGGTATTCTATACAGCATTCTACGAACCCTAATTTGTAGCACCTACATTAGGTTTGAGAATTTTTTCAAATTCAAGCACATTTGATTTCATTTTCTCCAAGATTTCTTGCAGTTTGACTTTTTCTATAATAGCATTCTCGTCCTCTCTTCTTAAGGTAAGTTTTTCAATGTAATTAAGATCATCTAAGTACTTCTTTCCAGTGAAAGTTTCCAGTCTTCGACAGATATCCGACATCATCGACCAAGTGTCATTAAATTCTTTCTGCGGTATGGAGGCTGAGCTCACATGTGCAGTCAATTCATTTCGAATTAATCTAATTCTTTCGATATCGTCACCCACTGTCACCTCTCCTGCTGCAGGCATAGTGTCATATCCCCATTTTCCTTTTGTTGGTTTAGGGATCGTTGAACAAATGTTTCTAATGCACTTGTATGTTAATGAAATATCAAATTCCTCATATCCAGAATTTTTTGCTTTTTTCAAAAGATCTTCTTGATGTGTATACAATTTCATATTATTCCTTTTTTTGTTTGATAATAAATTCACCTCTTTCTCAATATCAGATGCAGGAATTTCTGATTCCAGAACATCTCTGCATGCCTTATTTAACACATCGTTTGTGGCCATGCCAAGTTTTGCAAATCTAGACCGGCCTTCTAGGTTTTGTCCAGACGCCACAGGAGTACTGGAATCACTCGACTCTCTCTGAAACAAAATAAACCATAGCTATTATAATAAACCAATCTTAACCTAGAAACTAAGTGCTGGAAATAACCAACTTTGTCTGAAACAAAATCAATCTTAGTTCATCTAATGGAGCCAACTTAGGAAAAAAACATTATAAACCAAGATTAAAATTTATAAGATGATTCCCCATATATTAAGCAAAGCTAAACCCTAATGCAAGTACAGTTTGTTTTCCAAGGTGATTATAACAAAGGGCCCTGTTGTAGGTCAAGCAAGAACAATTAGGATAAAAACAATTTTAATTTACCATTAGATATCATTGAGTTGGTATCATCACATCAATTTGGAAAATTAGGAATAAAGTGAAATGAAAGATTTATCTAGAGAGAAACATAATGTACATGTACTCATCAGAGCTTCTAAAACCCTGGTACCCGAACCACGAGACAATGGATAGTTAATTGCACAATTTTGGTAAAAGATTAAAAATCCATTAATCTCTTGCAATACAGTTCATCGACTCTGCACTGGTCTGAAAGAAACTTGGTGCTTTGATCAAGGTCATGACACATTTTGAGATTATAAGCAATATTAGTTTGAAGTATGCAGATATACCTTACTACATTTCTTTATTTCATTTTGAGTTTCCAATTATTTTTTCAGGTAAACATCATATTACCTTAAATAAGTTCAAATCATGACACATTCTTGGGTCGTAAGAAATCGTTGAGTCAAATAATGGTCCATTTTACAAGGTATGGTAACACTGATTTTATTTTTAAAAAAATTATTTCTGAAAGTGATCTTGAACTGGACTATTGGCCTTGCATTTATATCAAGAATTCTCTGTGTAAAATATAAACCTCAAATGTCTCTCTCTTTAATATTTTTTTCATTCATTGATCTTTTATATGGTCAAAATCAGTACAATTCCTCTGCTGGTAAAAATATATTGTGCCAGTGTTTTTTCCAACAAAGTTATTGGCTGGACTTAAATATACATATATGCCAACAGACAGGCAGACAATGTAAGTCCTAAAAATAGATTTTTCGATTTTTGTTGTACAGGGAGTATAAAGATTAATAACTGTTACCTTTTCCCAGAATCCCTGTGTCCTCTGTACATTTATCACATGTTTCTCCCGAAGTTGACACTTGCACTGCGTTTCTTCTGCCTTGATCTCGGAAAGCTCACTTGAAAGGGTAAAAGATAGATCTTTCTCATTACAAATAATGTTTTGACATTTGTATCCTCTATGAAATATTTTTGTGTCAATAAATGTTTCTGTCAATTTTTTTATTGCTTTATCAATGGAGACTCCAATTTCATTTGATACACCTTTCTCTACAGTCAATGGTTTGATTCTCAGCACCTGCAACTGAATATCATCATTGCATATGCCAACAACAACAGTATGTTCATTGTGATCAAACACTGCCCCTGTTTGATAAAGACATGGACTCCCTTCATTATCTTCATCTTTTGCTACACTCCATCTTAGAGAACTTATGCAGTATGCTACCAGTCTGTAGAACACAAACATGGCAAAGGAACTGAATCGATAGCAGAAAATGGATGAGCATTCCCACTTATCTTCACAGAAGTCAGCTTTAAACTGCTTTTTGTTCATACATGGGACGTACCATGACATGCCACCTTCTGATACAGCCTCATATGCATTCAAAGGTACCAGCATTTGAAGTTTCTCCATGTATGGCATAATTTCACTTTTATGTTTCAAGTAAGAGGGTTCATCTTTCCACAGTGCATTTATCACTTTATCTTTAAGTTCCCCCGTTTTGTTGAAGGATTTCCACTCTTTAATTAATTTCCTTTTACAATCTTTATTTATGTGATTTTCATCAGCAATTATCTTGCTGAAAGCATTAGCAAACCACTGAATATCTAGTATAACATGTTCCCTCAAGTCTGCTTCTCCAAAATTCAAAAGAAGACCATTGTCATGGAAACATTTTAAAAATTCGGACATTTCCTTGTCTTTTTTGATTTGGTATTCATCAGGAAGAGATGTGTTGAGCTTCCAGATTTCACTCAGGGACAAAACCTTCCAGCCTCCTTCATACAATAACTGCTCCATTAGAGCCCATGAAGAAGGCAACTCAACCTTTGTATTGATCTCATCTGTGAATAGTTCCACTATGGACTTTTTCATTGACTCTAGTATTTCCTTGGTATTATCATTAAGTTCCTTTAGACCTACTGCATATTCTCGATCATTCAGAGACCCACTTAACCAATCTTTATCGTCATCAGGTACGGCATTCCAAAACTCCCCCAAATACTTCTCTATTTCCTGAAGAAGTAAACAAAGCAAGCATTCTAGACATATTAATTCATAATTGTGAGCTATGATTTTATCACTGTAAATGCTTAATTGTGTGTTGATGTTTGAAAATCTGAAAATCATGTACATGTATTTTGGATTTAAACTGGCAATTAGTTTTAACTGATTACAGATAAAACTGTAAATAAGGTATCCATTATAGATTAAAATACCACATTGGATGTAATACATAATTGTGTGATACGATTTACTGTAAATGAAATGTTTGTTCTCTTGTAGTTCTGACGTAAACACTGTTATTGTGCATTCTAAAGATATGTTAATATCAGTTATTCTTTTTTCACATTTCTATTAGACAGAATACTAACATCTGTAGATTTTGTTTCTGTGTGTGTGGCAACAAGAAACAGTGGTGCCTCTTTGCCTCCAAATGTCTTGATTGAGGTTATCCAAAACTTTAAGTAGTCTAAAACAACAACAAAGCATCATGATAAACTAGAACTGTCCAAACGAGACAAAATACCCCCCGCTGGTTTTTTTTCAGAAGTAAGTTCTTCCATAAAGAAGATATATATCAAACAAGAATTATGAAATTTTTATTCCAGTGATCTTGACCTTCCCCAAATGACCTTGGGTTAAGGTCATGACACACTGTTGGGTCATGGGCAATCTTTGAGTGAAATGAGAACCTACCAAGTTTATCCATAAGAAATATATGGACCGGACATGAATTATGAAATTTTTCTACCAGTGACCTTGAACTTCTCCAAATGACCTTGGGTCAAGGTCGTGACATATTCTTTGGTCATGGCCAATCTTTGAGTGAAAAAAGAACCTACCAAGTTTATCCATAAGAAATATATGGACCGGACACGAATTATGAAAATTTTCTTCATTACCTTCAGCTTCCAAAATGACCTTGGGTCAAGGTCATGACACGTCCTTGGGTCATGGACAATCTTTGTGTGAAATGAGAACCTACCAAGTTTATCCATAAGAAATATATGGACCGGACACGAATTATAAAATTTTTCTTCCAGTGACCTTGAACTTCCCCAAATGACCTGGGGTCAAGGTCATGACACACCCTTGGGTCATGAGCAATCTTAGTGTGGAGTAGTAGATTCAAATGTCCCTCTGTAAGAAAGATATGGACCGGACACGATTGCACAGACAGACAGACGGACGGACAGACGGACAAGGTGATTCCTATATACCCCCCCCAAACTTCGTTTGAGGGGGGTATAAAAAACAAACAAGTCAGTGCCTCTGGAAAGTGTATAGCTTTACTGTTTTGTATTTAAAACATCTAAAAATAAAAGAACTTCAATCTATGATTTTGTTTTTGGGTTTACAATAACCAAGCAGAAGTATGAAACTTCATATTTTGTATGCAAATTAAAAGTTATTCAAAAATAAAATATGAACTGTAGGACGTGAAGTAAATAACTTCTGAAGACAATTTCACACATCTTCTTCCTTCAGTGTGACATCTGATTTGTAGAAAAAGAAATGTGTAACCATGTGATGTACTTATTCAGGCAAGCAGCATATGCAAAGAAGACCATTTCAATAGAAATACCCTCTGAAAACAGATTCATAATTCCTGACTACTGAGCGATAATTTATGGTTCACATCGGATTATGGTGTGGTGTACTTGTGAAGGCAAGCAGCACAAGGAAAGAAGTCAATCTGATTGGCAACAAATTTATCATTCCTGGCTACCAACCTACAATGTATGAGTCACATCCACAGAAATGAACTGATATCCACTACAACTGACTACCCAATGGAATCGTCATTATCTCCCACAAAATAACCCCATCTAAGTATTGAACCTCATTAGCCTTAAATGAAAGACAATTATAGCATTAGTTATTTTTGAAAATAAACCAAACAATAGATGTTTGTAAAATACTTATGCCTCCCTCCTCCACAAATTGGAGTCTAACAGGGCATAACTCAAGAATGGTGCGATCGTACCCAAACAAAACTTGAACTAGATACTCATCTGACTAATCTGTATACTAAATTCCACTTCAATGTATGCAACCTCTTCAAAGAAAATGAACGGAAACTGCAAATAATTTGTTTTTTGATAAGTCCAAGGGGCATACCTCTGTCAATTTAATTTAGACATTTAAGATATATCTGTATACCAAATTTCATTTCAGTATGTGCAACGGTTGTAAAGAAAATGAACGGAAACTAAATGGACCGACAGACAGCTGCAAAGCAATACCGAGTATGCCTTCTCTTCTTCGAAGGGAGGCATAAAAATATACATCTTCCTACTATATTCATAACATTCTTCTTTTTTCCAAGATATATTTTTGTGTGCGTCTCATTATGTGAATACATTTCAATCAAGGGGTTTTTTTTCTTGTAGAATTATTTTAACAAAAAGGAGGCCGTGGAGCTACTGGTTGTACTTTTAATGTCAGATGAAAGTAGCACTTGGACTTAGTTTAAACTTTATTTCATTCAAATTAGACATCATATATACACAGTAGATAATACAAACAGGATTCGGAAACAAGTTGTAACAACTTATATTAATCCGTTTCCTTAAATTAACTTTCAACTATAAATAGACATTTGCCCCTGTTGAATGACATGTATAATAGAAAAAAATAATCGAGAAAAAAATAAAGATGAAAACAAAGATGAGAAGGAAAAAAATATATATATAAAAATATATATTGTAGAGAGAGATATCATAACATGAATTAACACTAATAGTAAATGAGGAATAAACACGGTCATACAATGCAGTACAAGATCAAACAATAATAACATACGGCCACATGTAGTATTCAAGTAATAAATCTTTTAGAGGCAGAAATAAATTGATGTACATGTTTAAAAATGTTGGTATTGAAGGAATAATTCTTAGTGGAATCTCCAAATAAAAGAATGTGTAAAGTGACCGGTCCTAATGGGTCAATGAATTTTTTTCCTTGAGTCGGTGTATAAAGGACATTCTAATAAAAAGTGTGTTGTTGTTTCGATTTTTCCACAAGCACAATTAGGATTATCTATTATATGTTTTGCAAATAAATGGGAATTAAGTGTACTACAATTAAGTCTAAGTCGTGTATGTAAAATTTGTTCTGTGCGCTTACCAAATAAAAAATATTTTGGGGTTTTATAACAGTTAATGTTAAGCACGCGTTTTAAATTAGATACTGAAGGATTTTCTTGGACATTAATCGGAAGTTCGTTCCAAAGCTTTGTAGTTGATGGTAGAAAAGATTGTGGTTTGTATTAAACTTCTGTCGAGTAATGCAATGGGATCGTCTTGTAGGATAATGGTGTGTTTCGTTGATTCTTTTAGGGATTAAAGAAGATAAGTAATCAGGCGCAATTCCATGGACCATGGTGTGAAATTTGATTATTTTATGTTTTTGTCTTCGACTGTGCAATGTATCCCACCCAACTTCTCGAAAAAGATCATTTAAACTTACTAGTTTAGTCGCGCCTGTGACTATGCGAGCAGCCTCAATGTTAATTTTTTTCAAGTTTATCAGCTAAATCATTTGGGATAATGTCCCAAACTACATCTGCATACTCAAGAACTGGTCTTACAAATGAAAAGTATAGTTTTCCTAAAGATTTTCTGTCTAATAAAATTTTGAGTCGTCTTAGAATGTGTAACCATGACAACATTAACATGATATGACCATGACCGTTGTCTGAGAAATGTAATCCTAGGTGTTTATGATGTGACACTTCACTTATCTTTTGTCCATTCAAATACAAGTCTGGGTGTGAAGTTCGGATACGTTTGGAACTGATTGTTAAGCTTTCGGTTTTTTGAGGATTAAAGGTAACTAACCATTGATTAGACCATTTATGGATTTTATCGAGATCGCTATTTATAATTGTTCTTGCGATAGCCGAGTTTTCAACAATAATGTATAAGGTTGTGTCGTCCGTAATTAATAATTTAATAATGGATCTTATGTCAAGCACAATATCATTTATATATACAAGGAATAACAGTGGACCCAATATTGAGCCCTGGGGCACGCCAGCCTCAATATTGCACCAACCCGATGAAGATGAATTTATAACAACTCGTTGTTAACGACCTTGGAGATAATTTTCGAACCAATGGTAAAGTTTCCCACCTACCCCAGCTTGTCGAAGTTTATAAAGCAAACCCTTATGCCAAACCCTATCAAACGCTTTGCTTATATCACAAAAGACAGCACGTACCTCCTTCCCCGAGTCTAATGCTCGACCAATATCGTTAGATATATCTAATAATTGATTAACTGTTGAGTCACCGGAGATAAATCCTGACTGATTATTACAAAAAAAAATCTTTTCTACAAAGTAACTGTAAACATGATTATGAACACATATTTCCATAACCTTCCCAGTAATTGACAATAATGAAATAGGTCTATAATTGTTGATATAATAAGGATATGGAAATAACGAACAGTATTCAATCTCAACGTCCATTAAACAAATATACAAAACAAGAGCAGAGCAAACACGGACCTCCGAAACATCAGAGGTGGGATCAGGTGCCATGGAGGAGTGAGCATCCCCTGCTGACCGGTCACACCCGCCGTGTGCTCATTGTCATAATCAGGAAATAACGGAAAAAATCCGTAGTCAATTCAGTGTATAAATAATGGACTAACAATTGGTATGAAAAACGTCAGTCAGCATTTCATTCAATGATAAATTGTATTTGCTGACAAGGTCATTGTATCGACCATAGAATTTACGAAATGATGACTTTAAACGAGACTGTTGATATCATTCCTTTTGCCTTTTTTGTGAATAGGTGTAACGTTTGCTTGTTTCCATTGCGTACGAAACACTGATCTTTGGAGTGATTTGTTGAATAATTTGCATAATGGAAAACTTAAAATTGTTGCAGCTTCTTTTAGAAGTCGCGGGTTCATGAGATCTGGCCCAGTCGCCTTAGACGTATCTAATGAAAGAAGAACGTTAGTAACTTCATGAACAGTCAGTATTATTTCAGAATAATCAGAATCGAAATTGTTATTACATATACTAGTATGCGGAAGACTCGCTGATGAATCGTCGATCTTTGACTGGTTCGTAAAGAAATTGTTAAATGCGGTTGCTTTATCGAAATTATTGTCAATAACACTACCATTAACCTCTAAGGGAGGTAAGTCGTTTCGGGTCTGAGTGTTGGATATTTTGTTTACCATATTCCAAAACTTTCTTGAGTCATTACACTCGGATATATTATTTGATAGCTTTATGTAGTAGTCCTCGCGAGCATTACAAACAGTGCAAATACATTGGTTTCTTACTTTTCTAAATTCATACCATTTGTCAGGATGATCAGTTCGTTTAGCGATTGAATGTAATCGTTTCCGTCTCCGTATAAGTTTTCGAATTGCATTATTTATCCAAGGAGAATCGGATTTTCTAATTGTCACTATCTTATTGGGAATGTTATTTCTAGCATGCTCTATAATTGTTTCGTTAAA